TGGCCCTCATTATCAATTATTCCACCGGCCTCACTCCGTTCCCACGGCTCTCGGCCCCGCCCCTCTCGTCACATATATATATATATAAATGTATATATATATATATATATATATATAATTGCCTCCTCATTTTAAAACACCACTGCACGCCACTGGTCTGTCAGTAGAGAAGAAGCAACAAGATCTGAAAGATTCAATGAAGTTAACGAAGCAATGAGATTAAATATCTTGAAACTGATCGAATAACATGTTTTAAAGAGCATCTGAAGGGAATATTCTGTGGTCAATACAAGTAAAGCTGTAATGACATCATATCGCAGGAAATCGTTTTGATTTTTTCCTTCTAAAATAAACTGAAGTTGTGTTTAAATTGCATCCAATCGAAGTGGGGCAAGACATTCATGATAGTTTAACAGAAAAAAATCTGCAGCTTGTGTTTTTGTTAATTGTACAGATTCTCTCCACCTTATTTTTCACGTTAGAATAGCCATGGCCGTTTGTAAATTTCATGTCTGGCTTCCAGTGTCATTTGCTTCCAGTTATTTGTAGCTGTACAAACTGCTGCTGCTTGAAACTGCAATCTGGCATTCCTTACAATTTTTTTAATGTAATGTCTTAGTTATAAACACACTGGTTTGTAGCGCATATAGTTTTACCATTTACTGCACTTTGATATTCTTCTCGTTATTTCCCAATAGCGGCTAATGAAATGGAAGGCTTGCAAATCCACAGAAAAACAGCTTACTTCCGCGTTGAAAAATAAGGTGGATAATTCTACTGATTAAGTAAAAAGTGTCAAAATCATAATTTTGAGGTGGAACTGTTGCTGTAGATAGATAGGTTATGTGTGGTTATGCATTACTAATTGCTGTGGGTGAGTTTTCTCATGATATCCTTGGGTGGAAGTTGCAGTGTTTATCTGCTTTATAAGCTCATAAACGGGAGTTTTTAGATATCATTTTATACAGACAAGGTTGGTAAGTGATTCTATCATGTTAGTATCACGATAACCCATATGATATTTATCCCTTGTGCATACTTAGGGACATTTTTCTCTTTTTAATTAATTAATTCATTCATTCATTCATTCATTTATTTATTTTGGCTGTGTTGATGCAAACAGCATACATTTTGTCAAAAGATTGTATTTTTATTGGAATTCTAATACTTTTCCCTCATTTTCTTACATAACTCTATTTTACTCTAGGCATAATACATAGTTGCACTTAGGACCTTTATATTTCAGGGCTTGACATTAATGCTTAATGATTTTTTGAAGGGGTAATTTTACTTGCCCGACCGGACTTCCTATATATAGGCAGGTTTCTTCAAGTGTCTTTGAGACGTAGCCACAGTTCTTCTGGATTTAGTCTGTCTTAGTTTTTCCTGTTTGTTCATGTAATTCCAGACGGACTCAATGATGGTGGGCTCAGCTCTATGTGGAGCACTATTGTCAGACTCCTTGTGCATTCAAAAAATCTCACTGGATTATTACAATTAATGGCAGAAGGAATGAAGGAATGTTTGGAAACTGTAAACTGACATTTCCTACTGACGCATTAAAGCAAAAAGTTTTAAGAGGCTTAAGACCTATTTTGTTCAACAATTACCTTATACCTTATAGCTTATGGTAGAGAAATGAACATTCAATTCACGGGCAACAGCTCTGGTGGACATTCCTGCAGTCAGCATGCCAATTGCACGCTCCCTCAAAACTTGTGACATCTGTGGCATTGTGCTGTGTGATAAAACTGCACATTTTAGAGTGGCCTTTTATTGTGGCCAGCCTAAGGCACACCTGTGCAATAATCATGCTGTCTAATCAGCATCTTGATATGCCACACCTGTGAGGTGGATGGATTATCTCGGCAAAGGAGTAGTGCTCACTAACACAGAT